GGGCGGGGGCGGCTGTGGGCACGCAACAAGTAGCGCGGCTCAGCCAGCGGAAGGGAAGGAAAAGGGGGGAGGGGGAGCTAATGCGGCGCTCAAATTCCAAAAGAATCGCGCCGTCGATGACGTCGTCCTGGTCGGCCAACGCCGCGCCACCACCGCCGTCGTGGTCCTGGGGGACGAGAAACTTCGGCACCCCGCTGGCGCAGCGATGGCGGCAGAGAGGGGAGAAAAACAAAACGGAAAACAAAAGCGAGACATCGGCAAACCACAGGGTGTCTCCACGGCGGCCATGCCGCTGGGGGCGGCCGGGTGAAGAAGAACTTTCAGGCGGGTTGGCCCAACGAGGTCGCACTATGGGCGGGCCGGGGGCGGGGGCGAGTGGGGGCGAGTGGGGGCGAGCGGGGGCGGAGCAGGCAACCCCGCGTGCCGTGCTCCCGAGTGACAGTAGAAAGGCTCCTGACTCGGAGGAGGAAACTTTGCTGCCGGACGAGCCACTCGGCCGCCTCCTCGACTTCAAAGAAAGTTTATTACCTGAATACCTCCGCCTCGGAGGCCCGTCTGCCGCGCCGCCCTCCTCGCCCTTGAGGACCCCACCTCCACCTCCGCCGCCCCATCCTAACCCCATCTGTAGCGGCGTCTGCGACCTGCTCGCCCTTGCTACACAAAATTTTAGGGCGGCTAAAGTTCACAGTTAGTAGTTGGCGCAGAGACTCGTGAGTCGCGCGGCTTCTTCCATGGAATAGCACCCCCCCCCCTTTTTTTTCCCCTCGCCCGTCTCAGCCACCCATCGGCAAAAGCAAACGGAGATCATGCACTTTCTGTAGCACAGTGAAACTGGAAATAATGTATGCGCACACACGATAAGAAAATAAAATTATATTTGGGATTTGGTTCGGCTTGGTGAGAAGGCGTTCGGGTCGGCCGTCTTCTGCCTGCGCTCTTCCGATACGTCCGATACGTGACGGCGCCAGTGCAAGGAGCGGCGGCCGCATTGAAAACAGATACACGAAGGGGCTTATCAGCACTCTCGGCGGGGCGGGGCGGGGCGGGGCGGGGCGGGGCGTTCCTTCACACGTCCCGCGCACACCGCCCCCAACCCCTTTCCAAGGATCATGACGCAGTATCATGCAAATGCCGCGCACTTTCACCGACCCGGGGTGGGGAGGAGGGGGGAGAGGAGGAGGGTCTTGTACGTAGAAGGAGGGGTGGTGGGGGGGCGCTATAAAATAACGTTCGTTTCCTCATCAGGATGCTTCTCTCTCTCTCGCTCTCCTCCTCACAAGGAAGGGGTGCAGCCAACGACCGCAGAGCTACTATGAGGAGCAGGAGGGGGCGTTGCAAATCAGAATATGCGGAGGACAAGAAGGAAAAGAGGGGAAAGAGAAAAGCCCTTTCTCTCCGAATTTAAACAAGCTTTGGCTGGGAGAGGGGGGGGGGCAACTTTTGCCGCCAGACGCCGCAGGCATGCATGTGACAAGGTGTACGCGCAACGCACAATAGCAAAAGCGGCGGCAAAGAAGCATACGAAGAACGGATCTGG